TTTTTTTTTTTTTTTTTTTTTTTTTTACTCACTCTTTGTTATGCTTTGGTTTTGTTTTAGACAGAGGCTCATTCAATATATAGCCCGGGCCAGCCCTGAACTCCTGATCCTCATCTCTCTCCCTTGAGCTGGCATCATAAGATTGTGACAGCATGCTTGGCTGTTTTCATACTCTTTTGAGTAAGTGTTTCTCTTGTAGCCCTGTGTAGACCAGGCTGGCCCTGAACTCACAGAGATCCACTTGCCTCTGCCCCCCAGGTGCTGGGATTAAAGACTGGGCCATGGACAGGGTTTTTTGTTTTTGTTTTTTCATACTTAAAAAAAAATGGTAAAGGTGAACATCTTTAATCCCAGCACTCAGGGAGGCAGAGGCAGGTAGATCTCTTTGAGTTTGAGGCCAGCCTGGTGTACAAAGCAAGTCCAGAACAGCCAAGGCTGCATAAAGAAACCCTGTCTCAAAAACGTAGCTAGGACAACAGAGTATCTGTAAACTGCTTCCAAAAAAATATTTCTTTTAATCTGAGAGTGGTGGCCCCCATCATTTATCTCAGCACTCAGAAGGCCAACTAAGGCCTTCCCGGGTTACACAGGGAGTTCCATACCAGCTTGAAATATAATATAAGACTCTTGTCTCAATCAATCAATCAAGATTGTCCTCCTAAAAGCATGGTGGTAAGAGGTCCCACTGCAAGTCAGAGCTTCTCCGAAGCAGTGAAGTTCTTCTTGGGGGTAACAGTAGAGTATCCTTGTAGAGCATATCCCAGCATCCCATGGCCCAGAGTTAGGCCAAAGTATCTGCAGTTGGCAAAATTCCTCCACAGTAGACTGCTGGCTTAGGAGACAGGCTCTAAGATACTCCTAGGCCCCCAGCCTTCCCTCCTCCCTCTTCTGATGAAGAAAGGTGAAAGCAGAGCAGAAGGAGACTACGCAAGGCAGGCTGTACTGTAGGCAGAAGGCAGGCCTCTTCCCAAGGCCTTTCCCTCTGTGGCTGCAGCGGGACGTCAATGTAGACAGTTAGCGGGATGTAGAAATCATACAAGGAGCACCTTCCAATGCCCGTGGCCCTCACACCCCAGACAGCCACGTCAGCACAGTGTTCTTTCTCTGCACGTCTCCACCTTGAGCAACAGATTGCATTTTCCACAGTATATGTACAATTTAATACTTTCGCTAAAAATAGCAGGAGCATGAAAACAGTCTTATTACACATTATCCAACAGTGGTTTCATCTTCTCTCCTGTGAGCCTTTGATAGTCATGAGCCACTTTCAGCTCTTAGAAGCTGCGTAGTGGCCCCCACAGTCCTTACTCAGATGACTGCTTCCCCCGGGGCCAGTGCATCTTTATTATCTTCTGCCTCCTTCTATTTATTTTTATACAGGCAATAGTCACATTACAATTTTCTCTTCCACCTTCTGGGTAAGCCAAATGCTCTCTCAACTGGCTAATGATGAGCTCCCTCCATTTGTGCCCACCTTCTGTTTTTAGGAAATAGAAAAATCCCATTCCAAAGCAATAAACTTTGATTTAGCAAATTCTCTGTGTTTAACAGATGGGGACAGTCTTCTATTC